GAATGTGTTGGCCGGTGCCCTTGTGGCCCACATTTGATTTGGCTCCTACATAGATATACAAGGGAAGGGGCAAGGCAAAATGGCTTTTATTCTTGTATAGATACTTTCCCCTGCTAGCATCTTTCTGGGATTTGAAGTTGGATGGGATTTGAGCATAGTCATAGCCATAACCCTATCTCCATTGCACTAACCTGTCATGAAAGGAAATGTCTACCCTACATCCCCAGGGTGTCAAAGCTGTGGTCTGATATGCGCTGCATGGGAGCCTCCAAAAAAATCAGCTGCAGTGTTTCTTGGGGATTCTAGCTACACAGAAAGGCCCCCATCCAAATCTCTGCACCATGCCACTGGTTGGAAAAGCCCGAATCTATCCCTGTAATTTAACAGATTTGTCAATGGATTAAGCAAAATCCAATTTTTGCTTTATTGGGCAAAGCCATTCCCACATGATTAAAATTTCTCAACCAGTGATTCTTTTCATGTTTAGTCTAGAACAGCCTATTTGGATAACTGAATTAAAGTTATAACACAATATTTCAGCTGAGGTGAATCAGTAAGAAAGGCCATATTCAGTATTCCTCTTCTCTCCTGCAGCAGTGATTTTGGCCTAGAGTTGCAATTTGTGCACAAGCAATTGCATATGCAAATATGCACATTCCTTATTTGCATGTGCTTTCCCATACTGTGCCCCACAGTCATGGTAACTGTGTATGCAAGTGACAATTTGCAGGTGAAATCCCAAAAAATGTATACAAAAATGATGCATGCATTTCTGTGCATACGGTTTGGGGCCTGCAATTCCATAAAATCTATGCGTGCGTGACTGGGAAGTGCCTGGATGTATGAACAGTCTGTAAGACTCATAACATCTCTTCATTCTACAACCATGCTTACTTTGTCTGCAAACCCATAAGGGGTGCAGTCAGAATTGCAGGTCTACAGAGCGAAGGTGCAGGGAAAACATAAGTTGTGCGATCATATATGCCTCGCTTTCAGCATCCAAAATTCTTTGCTTGTAACGACAGACATTGCATGTCACAAATTGAGTGCACCAGGTCTAAAGTTATTTGCAATTCCCATTAATTATTCCACACCATTTTTTCCAGTGTTTACTTTGAAGTCAGGAGACATTTGTGCGTCCCATATCCACGTGTCCAAACACCAAATAAAAAACTCTCACAGTTTGGTTATGTCTCATTTTTAGTCTTGAAACACACAGAGCTTGTGTTTAGATTCTACTGAGAAAAGGATTGTGGAGAGAGTAAGTATCAAACAAAGAAAAAAACAGAAAAGAAAGCAAATAAATTATTCAAAATACTTGTTTAAAAAGTTACAAAATATGACAGCATTAATGGCACTTAAAGCTATAAGCACTTAAAAGATGTTCATCATAGTTTTTTACCATATTCCTTTTTTTTTCTTTTCTTTTTTTTGAGATTATGACTGAAGCTCATGTCTAAACCCCAACCCACCAAAAGGGACATAGAGCCCTGAGATTCTAAGGTTGCCCTGGCCCTCATCTTAGTTTTAGATATACTCTTATGCCTATTCTTTAAAATTCAAATTCAGCTACAGAGAACAGCAGGTTGCTGATATCATGCAAAGCCTATAGCTTTTTTTTCTGTCTTCAGAGTATTACAGCATTAAAACTGAATTTCCTTCAGTGATATAAAGTGTGAACAATAAAATTTTAAAAATTGCTGGCCCACTGTTTCATGCGCCAAACAAAACTTCATTTGAAATTTTGTTTTTCCTCTTTTAAACATTGTAGCATTAGAAGTTGTGATTTCTTCAGCATTTGTGAGTTTATATTGTATACTTCCAATAAGAGAGAGAATAAAATTCCTTTTTTTTTTTTTCCTTTTTCTTTTTTTTTTTGTCATTGGTTAAGATAAGTATCAACAGTGTGGGTTTTTTTGTATTTTTGTATTTTTTAAAGAAAAAAAGCAAATCACACCCTTTAACATGTCTGCGTTGATTTTGCTACCAGCTGGATCTTATGTCTATGGACATTCTTTTGGAGTTAGAAAGGTAATGCATCTGATTTAAAACTTAAAAAAAAGATCTAGCTTGGATCACGTGCCAAAACATCAACTAAACCTTACTAAACATTGCTAGCTCATCTGTAGTTCATTTCAACCATTTCTCCTCTTTTCTTCGTTCTTAGAAGGAGGATTAAAGTAGCCATAATCCACTGAAAAGATACACTATTCTCAACCATTTTTTTTGCCCTCCCATGAGCTCTTTTAACATAGCTGCCCTTTTCAATTATTATGCCCTGGTGGTAGCACTCTGGTTGTATTGCCATGGTAAGCCTCTCTTTGCATTTTTGCCATGGTAATCTCCTGTGTTGCTTTCCATTTCCATTGTGCTGTTTCGTTTTGGCAGAGCAAGCTTTAGTCATTATGGCACAGTGAAATATTCTTCGATGCTATGTAATTCAGACTGAATAAGGAGTCTGTATAAGGCACGTGTCAATATATATATATATGTGTGTATAAAAAACACTAACGTTAATTAAAGTCAAGCATCTTTTACATTTAATTTCTGTCTTCAAGTAATGCTTTGTTTTCATGTTCCCTTTCTTTGGTTTCAGTGGGGATCATTCCATTCTCCAGGTCCGAGTGCTGCTGGATACAATTGGTCAGGACTGCTGTGCTAGAAGAGTTCTCTGAGTTGCACATCTTCTCAGTCTCCTCTTCCTTCTTGTCCTCATCCAAGGAGTAGTTTCGAAAGGTCTCATAAATCTTCCTCACATCCTCTGGAATGCTCTTTTTCAGGTCTTTGTTTTTCCTCTTGGTTAGCTTAGATGAAGAGCCAAACTTGTTGATGATGTTGTCTTCTGATGCCCCCTGCCCATGCTTGTTGAGTTGATCTGTTCCTTTAAGGCGCAGGTTGTTAGGTCTGTTGTTGATGCTTTCCTGAGATGAGGCCTTGAAACGTCCTGTCTCCAAGGCAGCAAAGACAGAGCGCTTCTCTGGAGAGAGCATATCCAATGAGTGGGCCCTTTGGTCCAGCCCTAGGCGCCTCCGCTCCATACTCCGAATGGTGGCTGCCCTTTGAAGTTTATCATGGATCTCCACACTGAGTCGCCTCCGTGTTTCCCGGAACTCAGCAGTCACATTGGCTTTCCATTCAGCTGCATGGGCTTTTATTTCACCAACCTTTCCAAGAGAAAAAAAATAGAATCAAAACAGGGAAAATCTTTCCATAGAATAACAACACAAACTTTTTATTGTATGCTCTGTCATTAGAGATTCATCCAACCTGCAAAGCCTAGAGCTAGATCCCAAGCCTAAGCCAAACTTTCCCAGAATTCATCAGCAGTCATCAATCTCTAATCATACTGGGTTTGGATTCCATGCCATATGAATGCCTTGTTTACTTTTCCTACACTTTGGTACCACCAGAAGTCATTTTATATCTGGACTGCAAGTTAGAAGATTCCCAAACTTCTACCAAGCCTTCCTTGATTAGGAGAACAATAAAATTATTAATGGATAAGGTCCAGGCACTCAACAGGTAGACAGGAGGAGGGGATAAAATTAACAGCTATAATTATGCTAACTTCCTCCACAACAGCACCAGCAAACAAGCATTTTTCCATATGGGGTTCTGAAGTCTTCAATAACTAAGGCACTAACAAAACAACATGCCAGCCTATTCCTATCTTTCACTCACAATTACAGCTATGCAATCCAACTGAAGGTTCTGTATTATCCCATGAAATAATTCATTTAACATCTATATTTTTATTAAACCATTCCAAGTATTTCAAAACACTGAGATCCAGGTTCTGTTCTACCTCTTAGCTGCAGAAGTAGACTTAAGCACCTAAGTGTGATTCTGTTTCACCTTGCTTGAGTCCCTGAAAAACTTCAAATATAAATGTTGGTTAGGTCTTCCCCCTCCTTGCTGCTTTTTTGTGACTCAGTCTGAAGAGTAAGATGAGTGTGTGTTACAAAAGTAGATGCATTAGTGGATTTGCAGGATTTGAACAGGGTGGAACAGAATTACCCAAATCTGTAACTAAAATGTGGAATAAAATCTGGCCCTAAGGGTCCATCCTGATGAGCATGCACATGCAGGGGCGTGCATTTCCCATGGGACAAACAGCAGTGGCACATATTTCTGCCACTGCCATTTGTCCCCAAGCATGCCCTGCATGTGCACTCCAGCAACCTTACCTGGAGTCGTGGGGGCCTCCCAGGGCAGCAGCAGTACCAAGACAGTCACTTGGAGCCAGGCTCCCTTTCTGGCGGCACATGCTGATGCCACATTCCTGCCCGCCACTTTTTTCAGTGGCAGTTTTTTTTGACCCCCAGGAACTACCAAGCTGCAAAATAGCAGCATCGTAAACAACTGCATAGTAAACCGGCTGCGTGTGTGCCATGTGCAGTTTGCAGAACTCCAAACTGCTTTGAGGTACTGCAAACTGCACATTAGGCTTGTGCGAAGCAGGTAGTATTCGCTTCGGATTCGGATTTGGCTGATTCAGGGGACAATGATTCAATTCGGTGATTCGAATCACTGTCCTGAATCGATTCAGCTGAATCTGATTCAGAGCTTCGGCTGCTGCCAAATCAGCCAAATCTCCAAATTGGCTCCACTCTCAATGGCTGCCCTGCCCAACCCCAGCTCCTGGCTCTTTGAAAAAAAAAACCCCCCACTCACTGGCTCCTGCCTGGCAGGGCGCCATCCTCACTGTCCCCCACTGCCTCTGCCATGTGGGGGGCTCTGTCATGAGCCCCCTTACCCCTGGCCACTGTCCCAGCCCCCCATGGCTACCCCGA